ACGACATCCTGTCCTCACAGGGTTCCCCCAAAAGCACCTCTACTAACTCTGACGTGATATCAGAAGCACTCTGGAAAGTGAAAGGAAGTGAGATTAAAATTACTCGCGGTGACGATAGTTCACACTCTGCTCTTCTTCGTACATCCACAAACTGCTTTTGTGGAAAAACATTTAGAGGTTATATATCCTCATATGGAAAGTTTAGTTACCGTAATGTTTGGTCCAATGATCAGTGCCCTGTTAGCTGCCCGGTGCATTATGGTGGACTGTACAAATCCACTGTTGGCTTTAGTCAAGCAAACTGCAGTGGTAATATTCAAGGAAGCTACCGCATTGGATTCTGGTGTCAGTGGGATCGTGGTGATGGTTCAGTTCTTATGTTTGGAGGAGGAGGGAGTGGATGCGGCAGAGCGGATCAAAGTATCGGGATCACTGAGAACGACCACGGAGGATTTGAAGAATGGTCTCATGGTGGGGAGAATTATTTTGGAGACGAAACCACTAGCTCGCCTTCTACTTCTTATGCCTTAAATTTATGGATTCATCAGAACAGAGTTCTAACGAATAGAGGGAACTATTAACTATGGTTAGAAGGAAAAGAATTCATCGCTGATCTTAATCCACGTGACAACATCACTTGAACAAAAAAAATCCTATTTTCCGAAGGCCTTTTTTTAACTAGTCGAGCGAAAGGAAACCTTACCTGGCTCTTTCCCTTTCTGATTACTTAACAATTATTCCACGAGCGCGCGTTGATCATGAGATGGTAAACAGCCAGAAAGACGCGTAGCGTCGAGTTGGTTTTAACTAATTTCGTATCCAACAAGTACGAATAGAATAATTTTTTTTTTTTTTTCAATTTTCCACACAATAGGCTAACAGATGTCAGTGTCCTAGAGTTGCGTATTATACGTGATTAAATGTAGACGTTTTCATTAGGACGGATGTATGATGGAAAGTTAGATCGATTAACTATGCAACAATTAAGAGGCTTGGTACCCGGACGACAAAGCAACGTCAGTCACCTGCTTTTGTTTGTTATTTGCGTCAAAATTATACTTCTTCTAATCCAGGACTAACTTGTGCCAATTCTTGACTACGAAAAAGAAAAAAGTTATACCAGATTTTACCCACTCAGTCAGAGCTATTTTTTTTGTAATTATTTTAAGCAAGAACGTTCATGTTACTCCAACTTATAATTTTCGCAGCTTAGTTATATTTTGATCATCTTGTTTTGTTTTCACGCAAGTTTCTTCTTTGTTGTATTGCACACAGTGTCTTTATGTAGAACATCCGTCTCAAAGGAGGTAAGAGAAAGGCAAAATTGCTACGCAAAAAGCCTTTAATAAATATTTGTAGTTTCAGAAGCATCCAAAAAATTCTAACCAAGCACAACACTTGTTTTTCACATCGAGAAATCCTTCATTTACTCATACAGTGGGCAAAGCGCGCGACAGAAAATATCATACAATTAACTAAGTATATGAGCGTAGTCAAGTTTTTCTGGCACTTAAGGACAGTGTGACAGGTGTTCACAGATAAATCTTGGAAAGTGATCAGACAGTTAAGAAATCCTTTGCATTACTAAGTTGAATCGCAATTTTCCCTTCGAGGTTTAGCGCTTGAATAAAAAATTATCTGATAATGAACACATGATTTAAAACAGGAGCTGATAGGTAAGGAAAATTAATTCTCAAGAAATTAATCTATGCCCAATCTATCGCCAATAACTCTTCATTAAGAGTAGAAAAGTAAAAGTGTTTGAGTTAAAAGTGCCGGTTTCTCGTTGAAGATTCTTTTAAGAGGGTCTGGATGGGGTTTAGCGTTAAGTGTTATTTGGCCCTTTTTTTAATGTTTAGTGATAAAATTTGTAAAATTTTAGTGTTTAGTGTTTTAAAAAAGTTAACTGTTAAGTGTTAAAAGGTGTTAGAACAGTGATTTCACTCATTAAAGATCCATAAAAGTTTCGTAGAAAAGGCAATAATGTTAGAAAAAAGAACTAAGATTCTTCAAACTTAGCTCTTATGATAAAGGATGCAAAACTAGAAACAAAAGGAGAACAGCCTGCACGGAACTGACCGAACTGGTCAGCACGCACACTTTGTGCTCATGCACATAAGTTCTTCAGAAACTTTGTGGTCAGTGGTTTTTAGCAGACTTCTGTATGCAAAATGGCCGCCACGTCCGCATCGGTGGGAGTTGTGGAAGTATTAGTCAGCTTTTATAGATGTGGCGAGGAAAATGCCTTTGAAAGGCATCGAAGCAGAATTCCAATCGGTAAAGAGGAAAGAAATATAACGGACGCAAAGAAGCATTTGATCAACTTTCTTTGTATTTCGCAAGTGGCCACCTCATTGGGGATGGGAAATTTCGAGTTGAAACTGTACCGGCTGGCCAGGTATTCCCACGGGAAAACGAAGAATTTACATATCCTTACGCAACATCAATAGGAAAATGGAAGTACCACTCCTTGTTTCTGACGAAACCCAGAGTGAACTCAATGGTTAGTAAACAACTGATCTTTCAAATTCATAAAGTGCAGGAAAAAAATTGCAAATTGCACTATTCACTGGAAAAGCTAAGGTTTTGCTATTTAAACCCAGGTTGTTCTTAATAAAAATAACTGTGATATTTGGTGACTTATGGTACTTATGTTAAAAGACCTTAAAGACCGTACGTTACTGACCACTGTAGTTGAAAACCTTCATGCAGTCTCCCACTTTAAAAACGAGACTTTCACAGCTTTACAGTATGCTCGAGACTTTGGCACAACTGCAAAAGAATCACTGTAAAGAACGTGGAGCGCCAAATACTTTACACCTGACAAATCGTTTTATCCAGTTCCAACATCTAGTATGGAGTTGGCAGATATCGAAGTGATGAAGTCTCTAACAGCTGCAAGGGTAGATCCTCCAATTGAAGTAGCGATGAAGGAGTTGGTGGACAAATATCGTCCTGTGAGGCAGAGAACAGTGCGGAGTGAAACCACAAAAGACAAAGCCGGAGCTCTCCCACCAGCAGTGTATTACGCTCAACCTCCTCATTCGAAAGTAATGTTCTACGACGACTCAACTGTTGAAGATCAAGAAGGAATGGAACAAATTATTCCGCGACTTGTAGAATTTGCACGATCGGGCGTGCGCATATACATTACCTTGTGAATGACTCTCTGATCCAGAGTTAATTAAATGAAAACCCGAAAATAGCGCTATCTTGGACCTGGGAAGGCAAGGGGAGTTCAGATTCAAAGGCTGGCTTGCTGTTGATACATGTACTAAGAAACGAGAGGATTGGCTAGTGAGGACGCAAAAGCCTATTTCCCGGTAGGTAAAAGGAGCATGATGATTGATTAAACAAATTTTTGAAATGAAAGATTGCAAAAGTGTAATAACGACAGAGGAAAATTTTCATTGTCGAGCATAATGTACCCTTCTGCTGAGAAATAGTCTCCCATGATTTTCCATGATAGAAACATAAACAATGAACAAACCCAAAATTGTAATCAAAATGACACAGTCTGTAAATTAATTGTAGATATT